GTTGAAAGTACAGCCACTGATTGGTCAGCAGACAATTACGCCACACGGCATGATTTGCATAAGACTATGGCTTGGGAATCACAGATTTGCATAATGTTATCGCTGGTGATCGCTAATTGGTCGGCTGGGAATCACGCCACATCACATTTGCATAGTGCTACGGTTCAGTAAGCACTAATTGGTCATCGAGCTCGATGTGGACACTATAAAAAGGTTAAGTTGAATGTGTCGCAAGGTGTTCTCTCGAACCTGTTTAGCGTATTGTTCAACAATAAATGTGAATTCGTCTTCATGGAAATATAAGACATCCCCCTGAAAATAAGACCTAGTGCATTTTTTAGAGCAAAAATTAATATAAGAAACTGTCTTATTTTCGGGGAAACACGGTATGTCCATAAACCCTAAGCCTTGCCCAGGTGAAGGTGTGGGCCAAAAAATTTCAGGATTTTCAAGTATGAAGGATGACCAATGATTGGGACATCCGCAGAATGCAGCCACACCACAAATGCACAAATGGTGGAAGACTTGGTGCTAGTGAACAGATGAATAATTGCATATTGCAGCTGCAATACACTTGAGTGTTGATACTGTGCACAGTGTTGAAACTCAAAAGGGCACTTAAAGGCAATGATTTTCTTCAGACACTGAAGTATAAGATGCTGTCTGACATTGGCTCCACCAGTGTCCTGCTACATTCTTCAAACGGGCATAACTAGGCTGGTGTCACAATGGGATAAGTCCCTTAATAATCAGGGCAATTATTGATGAAATAAATTTTCTATTTCATGCTGTTGCATTTGGCTGGTTATTTATTGAACACCCTTTATATAATCATTAAGTTTTTTGATGTGTTTTATCATTGTTTTGTTTTTTCATTTCACAGCTGTAATGTTCCAGATGTTTTGCCAATTGACCTTCAAATTAAGTTGGTAGTTTGTTTGATACATAGTAAAGGATTGCATCTAGTTCCAGTAAGTTCAAAAAATAGATATTTAAATTTAATTTATTTTAAAAAATATGATCTGATCATCTAGTTTCATAAACATCAATGGAAGAAATAACTTAATTTGAAAAACCTATTAATTTTTTTATTAATAAATTAGATATTTTTGATATATATCAGAAATATCTTAAATATAAATAAAAATATAGTATGTTTCATAATTTTCTCAATGATAAAATTTTACAATGATGTTGAATCTTGATAAAACAAATAGAAAATCATTACTTAAGAATTTATAAAAAGTAACTCTTTATTTCATAGTTTAAGAATTTTTATGAAATATAGTTATAATATTTTATAGGTTCAATTGTTTGACAGAAAACTTGACGAATTTCTTTTCATTTGTCTTAATTATAGTTATAAATAATTATAAATTGTTCAAATTTTGTACAGACTTAAGTCAGTTATAAACTGAATGTAGTTACAGCAAAATTTTATATTAAAATTATGATTTAGATACAACTGAAGTAATGTTACTATTTTCAATAATGTGAAGATTGTACGATTCTTCTTATAAATTTTTTTATTAATAGCTATAATTTTTATCATTTAATTCATCTGAATAATTTAAATCTGAGAGATGATATAAGATGAAATATCATTGAAATTTGATTTGAACATAGGAAATAAAAAGTTTTTTTGAACTGATTTTATTGAATTGAAAGAATTAAAAGAAAAAAGATAATATGTTAAATATTTCTAACACATGAATGGCTAGATGTCCAAACAGCAAAGACTTCAGTTTATTACTATTGTAGAATCTGGGTTCAAATCTGGATTGGATTTTAAAAAGCATTAATAATGATTTGACCTAAATATGTCAGGTGCTGTCATACATTATAAACCTTTTTTTCTCAGGATCTTTGAATGCATGATGAGCACAAAAAAAGATTTTCTTGATGCTTTCTATAATTTTTCTTACTAAATAAGTTTACTTTGTAAAACTAAATCAAATAGCATAATTTCCTTATTTCTAATTATATATATAATAATTAGAAATAAATCTTTGAAATTCTATAAATAAAATTTTTTTTATCATATTCATTTTTGTATAATTTTTTTGATTTTCTTAAGTTAATCATAAACCATTTTATATTGTACTGTATATGGAAATTTATTAATAGACTGATACAAGTCTATTAATAATCTGATACTGTATCTCCTTGACTAAGTAGACTGATACAAATAGATGATATATCTAAAAATGTTAGTTATTTCATTGCATTAATTACAGATATAAATAATTTATTTATTTTTATCATGTACATATATCATAATAAAAATAGAAAAATTAGTTTGGGCCAAATAATATATATATATTTTAGTATTTATATTTTCTATTTATTTTATGATTAAATATAAGTGGCATTAGTAAATATTAGTTATCTTTGTATATTAAATAAATTAGGCATTAACAGAGCCATTAAAACAAGAAAATCCAGAAGAAGTAGGTGATCTTTATTTAGATATTGCAGAAGCATACATGCAAGCCAAAGAATATGCTCATGCCATTCCAATATTATCTCTTCTTGTTAATTCTGAAAATTATAACATGGTAAGTAAAGAATGAAAACGAGTATCTTAAAAATTTCCTATTCTTATCTTAAATATTTCCATTTTCAGGCAGCTGTCTGGCTTAGATATGGAGAGTGTCTTAATGCTGTTAATGAAAAAGAAAAAGCAACTGAAGTCTACAAAAAAGTAGTAGAAATGGCACCTTGTCATATAGGTGCTAGGTTTTCACTTTCAAATCTATTAAAACAATCTGGTAAAACACAAGAAGCTATTACTGCATTAAAACAATGCAAGTTGTATTTTTGTATACTTTAAATTTATATTTAACAAAAACATGATTAATGAGAAAGGAATTATTTTTAATGTCAATATTCAGATAATATTTATTTTTAATTTTAGGTTATGAAGAAGGTCAGAAAGATGTTGCAATTGTAAGTATTTATTTTAAAAGTTCTTAATCTATCAATCTTAATTAAAACCTGAAAGTACAGTATTAATTGCTGAAGATTAATATGATTATTTATTTATTTGTTGGAAAATAGCATTCCTGGAATTAATCTATTTTCCAAGAATGCATTAATTTATGAGGACATATTACATTTAGTTCTGTTTAGGTTGTATTAGTTTTATAAATTAACTTACTAGTATATTTATTTATTTATTTATATTTGTGAAATGTAATTATTTCAAAATTCTGTAACTTATTAAAAAAAGAAGAGAGGAAAGTTTTCAGCTGTCATCTATTATTTATTTGTAATCTGAACTTGGCTATTATGGCAGCTATAAATATGTTTCTTCTTTTTCATAAATTGTTGAATTCTTTAACAGATAAAATGACTTCAAAAGTATATTTGTTTGATTTGTCATCTTTCTGTTATTAGATAATGTAATGAAATTCATTTATGGTTGATATAAAGATGTTTTTGTAGTTTTTCTTTAATAAGTAATTACTGGTTTTTCAATTACTTCTTATTGTTAAATCATTTAAACAGTTATCATTATTGTATTTCAAACAAAATGTTCCACTCTATTTTGAAACAGCAGACATTTATCAGTAGTAAATTTTATGTTTCAATCATTTTATAGTTATTGTTGCACATGTTATACATTGTTTCACAAAAATCAGTTGATTTTTCTAATTGTTTTTTGTTAACTTTACAAATTCAACAATTTTGTTTTCGAATTAAATTAATAGCAAAATGAGAAACATTTTTTTCATAAATAGAAAAAAGGAACTTAGCTAAACAGAAATATAAATTTAAGAATTATAGTAAATTAGAGTATTAATTTGTCTTTTTTTACATCATATTTAAAAAATTTTAAGTTAAATATTGTAATAATCTCTAGATGTAAAAGATTGCATAAAAGTGCATAAAATAAAAATTTTTTACATCTAATATTTTGTCTGTAGGAACTAAAGAGAAATGCTGTAAAAATTTTTTATAATTAATAGTAATAGGTTTGATCATAGAAGGAGTTTTTTCTGATTGTTATAATAATTTTTGTTCCAATTTCATTTTAAAAAGTTGTTATATGGTTGACTTTTTTATTATTATATACTGGGTGACCAAGTCTAAAGTTTATCTACGAAGACTAGACTTTGTGATTCTGTGAGCCAGTAATGCTTGTTACTGACTTACAGTAATGCTTAATACTGATTTAAGTATCTTTTGATACATATTGCATAAAAAGAAGTCATGACATTTATTTACCCTGGGCTTGAAGGATAAAATATGAAATTGTAAATAAATAAATTGATGGCATCATATGCCATCAGTTTATTTAGTCAGACACTTTCTACTCGTGGCATTGTCAAGTCTATTTGTCACAATTAAAATTTTTATTCATTCATCCTGTATATCATTTATTATAATTTCATAATTTTAGTTTATTGATCAGTAAGATTTTTGTCTTTAAATATAAATTTTTTAAAGAGAAATTTAATTTATACATACAATAGAAATTTGTTAATCCAACATCTATGGGACTAGAGTGGTGCCAGATTATCAAAATGTTGAATTTTTGCAAAATTTAATAAGATATATGATTTGAATGTTGCAGACATTGTTGTGTGCTTCTGATTTGTTTATGTACTCTCTTTAATCAGTTTGAAGATGATACATGAGTGTATTGTGTTAAGATTGATTTTGAAATGAAGTGTGTTGCCTAGAAGTTGGATTGGCCTGTCGATTAACATAATGAGTCATTTTTCTTGATCACATCATTTTTGATCCCGTATTTTCTGATATGAAGAAACATGCATGGCCACATCCCTCATGTCTGCCCAGGGTTTTTAGCGCACCATGTTTCCAAACAAATTTCAATTTGCAGAATCTTAACATTCCAGGTTATTGTCAGATAATTCTGGATTATTAGCTACTTTTCAGAAGGTGCTAGATTAATGAACTTCTACTATATTTCATTTCTAACATCATTTACACATTTTGTACATTTTTATATTATGTAATTATACAATTAAATTAAATTAAATCATATGTAACTATTTTTAATATTATATATTTATCTAGGACTTGCAGTTATTAATGGAAAGATGCAATTTATTGTATTTGCAAAAGTCATGGAAAGAATATATAGAATGCGGAATGTTGGTTTTATCAAGTCATTTTTTTCCAGTTCATAAACCTTCTGAATATTTTGGTAAAACATTATTCAAATAATTTTAAAATAAAATAAATTTATTTCATAAAGATTTGATTTTTTTTAATGTGTGTAAATACAAAATTTAGGTAGATTTTAAAAAATTTTTGTATTTTAGTTCATAGTAAAATCTAATTTTCTGTGAATGGATTCATTAACTACTTAAACTAGTAATCTTAACTTGTAAATATAACCTAAACCATGAAACCTTACAATCCAGCAGGAACTTTTGCGTAATATATATTTATATTTTTGACTGTCTGATGAAATGACTGAGTCAGTTGAAACTGTTTGTTCTCCAAAACTTTCTGTTGGATTGTAAGGCTTTATGGTTTAGATTAAATACTTTTCTAAACTTCATATTTATATTTAATAATATGTAATAAATAATAATTTGAAATCAATAGTTTTGACATTAAATGTAAACAATTTAAATATTATTAGTTTTTTTCTTAATGTTGTAATCCTTGATTATTTTATTTTATTAATGATAAATTCAATTAAACCTATTTTAGCAATTGCATTTAATCAAAGTCATAAAAGAAGAATTGAATGTTTGAAAGAAATTAGACAGGCAGAAGGTAAATAAAGCAAAAGTTTTAAATAAATAATGTAATTTGATTTATGTTTTTATTTTTTAAACTAAAATATTTATGAACAGATCCATCTCAAATTCCTCCTGAACCAAAGTTTACTGAATCTAAAATAACTCCAGAAGAAATGTGGGAACTTTATTTAAATGTGAATCATTTTTTTTCATTTCTATGTAATTGAAAAATTTTCATAAAATATCTATTTGTAACATTTATATGTACGTTTAAGGTTTGGCAGAAATTATATGAGCTAGGAAAATATAAGGAACTACAAGAATGTGCAATGAAAGCATGCACCTCATCTATATTTTTTAAAATGAATAAAAGCAAGGTTAGTAGAAATGTTGTTAAACATTTTTTTTTATAATAAAATCCAGGAAGAAGTTTACAAAAATATTCATAACTACAGATAACACAAATTTTAGTCTCTCGATCTTTTCATACCACAGGAATACAAATTACACAGTGAAGTCAATTTTTTTCCTCACCCACTTTTCAATATAATTTTTGCATTTTAGCCAACTGTACATATTTAGACAAGGAAGTGTCTATAGAAGGTTCACTCTACTGTGTAATGTTATATTTGTAGGGACAATGCAAACTTTACAATTTTCAAAGTTGATTTTTTTCAAGACAAGGTAAAACTTGAAAGTCAGCACAGACTAACATTTTTTTAAGATTGAATTATTGATAATAGCAAAATTTTAGTAGTAGTTATATTTTGTTTAATTTGGAATTTAAAAAGTATTGTACATCAAATAAAATTTATCAAATTTTAGAAGAATGCTGTTTATGATATTTGGACAACCATTTTAATATTAGTTTTTTTTAAAGTAAACTTTTTTTCTTTTTTGGTTTGTATGTTGGATTCTTAACTGGAACTTGTGTATGTGTATTTGTGTATATTTATATGTATTTTATTTATTTTTTTATTAAATTAAAATATTTTAAACTAATTATTATATATAATATAAAATATTTTACTTTTTATCTCAAAGGAAACAGATTTTTTGGCATTTTTAGCATGTTACTATAATAGATGTCCTAAATATGCATATTGCTTCATTAAAGATCTTGTTACCAAAGTGAGTCAAATTGCTTTTAGTTAATTTTAAAAATTATATGTTTTTCTAAATTTAACTCAAATCATTTATTGTTACAGCATATAAACAATAATAAGCTATGGAATTTATATTCTCAAATTGTCATAATGAATAAGGATACTCGACATAATCGTTTTTGTTTGAGGCTGTTGTGGAAAGTAAACAAATCTAATTAAATTGATATTTTCCTTTTATTTATAATAAAATTTATTAAACAGAATTTTTAATATATAAGTTATCTTGTTTAATGAGTTTTTTTTCTCCCCTTCAGAATCAAGATCATGTTCCTTTACAGTTTCTTAATGGACATTCGGCAATGATTGCAGGCACTTACAAACATGCATTAGGTAATTTACAGTTTATAATAAGATATAAATTTACATAAATGCAGAGCTTTAATAGAGGATATATAGAGTTATACATTACATACTTTACTTTTTTTATAGAAATATTGTTAATTCTCTGTACAGTACAGTACATTATATGCATTTTGGAAAGTTATTGGATTTTTCTACACTATATTATAATAAATAAATAAATAAACTTAAGGAATAATCTTATTTCAAATAATCAAATCAATGCCATTACTTTTACAAGTCCAGTTCCCTTTCTTTTTTCTTTTCAATAGAAATTTTAAATGTTAAATGAAAAAAATTGTAAATGACTACACACTCTGCTGAGTTTATGAATATAGCAATGCACACATTGAACTATTGTGACAACTTTAATTATAAAATTTTATTTGAAAAATTTATATACAGTAGAGCATCAATTATCCGACTCAATTGGGGACTCAGGTTGGTCGGATAACTGAAAAATCAGATAACCGAAAAGTATGAAAAATACATTATTAGTATAGTATATTATTATATATCATGTAATTAGTATATTAGTATATCGCTATTAACCTACTTCGCGTTGAATTTTCATCGATGTTAAGCCTAACAAATTTTTTAAATAATAATCGTCACTATTGTATTGTTAAAAATTAGAAAATTAAGTCTCATTTAAATACTGGTTTCCCTTTCATGGTCGAGCCACTGTTGCCAGCTAAAACATGCAAAAATTTAACAAAAATAATATTAAAGTAGCCAAGACAGCCAAATATTGTAGTGCCACATCACTAGCGGACATTTGAAATTTGCTGACTAGAACGGTCTGTTAACCAATGTGACGGTTAATCGGGAATCTGATAATCGATGCTCTACTGTATATAATTTTCACGTTTTCAGAATTTAAACTCAAAATTCATGCAAAGCAAAAGATATGATATTGCAGTTTTCCTAATTAAATCAATACTTTTGTTAAAATATTCTATGTACTTTTTGTTTTTAAATTGTTTGAACACAATTTTGAATATAATGAAAAATGTGACTTATGTTTATAACAAATATGGTTATAGTCTTGTAACTGCACTCTCTGTTTACAAATTCCCAACACTCTGAATGGGATTCTATAGTACCTGTTGGAATATCTGAATTGAAAAATCTTGGTATTACAAATTTATTCAGAGTACATTTGTGAAAAATTGAAGTCATACTAATGAAAATGAGAACTTGGGACACAAATAGATATTTCCAGTGTGTTTTTATTTGTTTTATTGGCATTTTGTTTGTGTTATAATGTGATTATGTAAAATTTCAGTGCAATCTTATGAACTTATTCTTAACATTTCTATACAGTAAGTTCAGTACTTCATATTTTTGTTTATTTATTTTCATTTTTAACTTTTTCTATCCTGTGTGATTACTAAGAGGCCCTTATTTTCCATTCCAATTATTGTTTTGGCTAGGTCTCTAATGGTGGTGACCAGGTGGTGAGGTATGGGGCCTGACATATTTGGGATAGATCATCTATTTAAAAATTCTTTGGCTGGCTCAGCTGGATTTGAAACTAAGTCTCCCGAGTTGTAGGCTGATGCTCTGACATCTTCACTCATCTGGTCATATGTTTATTTCTGTTGTTTTGCTTTTATGCTTTATACAATAATAATTTAATATAAAATGGACAGTATTATTACAACAGTTTCGTTGCTATCTATATCTATATGCTTATAAACATATCCTTTTAATGACCTCATTATTTGTTAACATGATTTTGAGTTTTTAATTAATATAGAGTGTTTTAATATAATGTTAAAATCATGGATTGATAGGTAAATAAATGTTTTAGATTCATTTGAGTAAATTGATTTGGGTTATTGATGAATAAGGCACAAAGGTAGAAATAATAAGAAATTATGAAAAATTTTTCTGATATCCTAGTTCCTTATGTTTGAATCATTTTCAGGAATACATCAGATTTGGATAATGGGGTTTGGCTGTGTGTACATCTTTGTTTTAGAAAAATGAATGCTAAAAAATGTTAAATCAGTTATAGAATTGTGAATTTCTAGTAATTACCATATTTGCAGTTTTATATTAACATAATTCCAAATAAGTTATTCAAGGCTTATCAGCATTTACTTATAGATTCAACATGTAAGTGCAATTCCTTCTATCTATCTATCTATTAAATCTTAAAAATATATTTACATTATCTTACATTCTCATCAGTCATGTCATCACTCTGTGATGCAAATTGTACTTTCTTGCTTTTTATTAATGCTACGCTATGCTAATTTCTAACTAATATCGTTTCCTCATTTCATTACCAAGTATTTTAAATCATAGGTTTTCTGATTAATTCATCCTGATTAATTCATCTCGATTGGAGTCAATAAACATCAAAATAATGAATTAATTATCATGTTTACAACTTGATATTTTTTATATCAAATAAAATTTATTTGTAAAATAAACATTAAGAGATTTGCTTTTTGTTATTTCAAAATTAAATTTAGAAGTTCAAAATAATCTTTGTTTTTAGCTGAAACTGTCAATTTTATCTGTATTTTATTCTTTTAATAAAAAGTACTCATTTTTGGTAAAGTTTAATAGAATAATAAATTGCTGTATCATTAAAAGGTAGGAAAAAGATTTTTAATATTAATTCAGAATCTTTTTTAAAAAATTTAATTGACAAATATTCAATGTATAATGTTTAATAATAATAAGTCATGCATATTTTTAAAATAAGATGAGAAAAATATTAAAAAGTAAACAAATTAATAAATCAAAATTGTTGTGGTTGTACATACCTTTTATTGATAAATTTAATTATATAATATGTATTATGCTAGTTTTTGTTTTCTTTTTTCTTTCAAAATTTTTGCACCAATGAAAAATATTACTCAAGAAAATATATAAAGTAAACCTGAAACTAGTTGCAAATATCAAAAGATATAATCTTTTCCTTTTTTCAGTAAAATGTTTATTAATGGAACAAACAAATGTTTTCGTTCTTATTTATATTATAGGCCTACTTCAGGTCTGCTGTCAACCCTATTATTTGTTAATTGTTAAAATGGTTTATTAATGGAAAACATTTTGCTGGAAAGAGGAAAAGGTTATATTTTTTTTTGATATTTTAAAAATATTAGTTTAATTAATTCCAACTTTATTATAGTAAATTTACTATAGTAGCTATGTAATTTAATATGCTAATTTTGAATGGATACAATGTTAAAACAATAGTTGCTGTAGAATGTTCCAAAAACAATAATTATTAAATCCAATAAATGCAAGTATGTATACATGAAATAGTATTTGAACTTACAGTCTGATAGAACAAATACCTTAATAAACATTGCTATTATTTTTAAAGAATTATTCTTTGTTTATTCTTAATACTTGTTGTATTTGTAAAAATTCATATTTTTTAATAAAAAATATAAATAAATTATAAATTAGAATAGTATGTTTAAAAAGATTAATATAACATATATTTAGTAAAATAGTTTTGTTAAATAAAAAATAAGAATTACAATAAAATTTTTTTAGTTTAAAAATTTAATTTATGAAGTTCAATAATCATTACTTTATTTTGCTTTTTACAATTTTAAATAATTTATAATACATTTTAATTAAACATTATCTAGGAGAATACATGCCAATTTTAAAGACAACACCAGAAGATCCATATGTGATGTTTTGTATTGGCTTAACATTTGTCCATTTGGCCTGCCAGAAATTTGCAGAGAAACGGCATTCACTGGTTATTCAGGTTAGATAAATTATTATTTAGTTTGCACTTATTATTATTCTCTTCCTGTATTTTACGAACTAAATATTTTCTTCATATGTAAAGATTATTGTTCAATATTGATTTTAATGAGGATTTTCTACTGAGAAGCACATCTAGCCACTAAACAATTCATTATTAATTACTATTTAATATACTATAATATCATTATAGTATATAGTAATATCACATGCTTTAGTTGATTTTTTTTTTTAAAGAAAATTTTTTAATTTTTATTTGTTTTCCAATATTATACAATTGAATACTTAAAAATTTTTGCTGTTTATAAGTTTAAATTATGCTAAAACATCTGTGAAATTTCAAACAATAATAAAAATTTAATTTTGATTTTTATAGAAATGTGTGTCCCAAAATTTCTTGATGTAGTAACTTGTAGAAAAATTCAAATTATGATGTAGTAGACTAAGTCAATTATTTATAAAATAACTCTTGTTTCAAATTTATGAATAAAGATTGCTGAAAAAATGCTGTATACTTTTTATTTTCAGTAGCAAGCAAATATGACAGCATGATTGATGTCATAACATGACATTTTTAAGCACTATCCATTCAAAAATTGTTATACTCTGGTAAAGTTATGGCTACTAAATAGATTCTTCTTATTTTGAGCAAATTGGGATGGATAGATATATGTAATAAAGAGCATTGCAATGAAGAAATTAATGTAAACTATTTGATTTATAGGATTTTCATATATGATATTCATTATTATTAAATTGTACTTAAATTATTTTGTAATTAATAACAAAACTAACATATTTTTGGAAATATTAGTCAAGTCAAAAATTGTTATACTCTGGTAAAGTTATGGCTACTAAATAGATTCTTCTTATTTTGAGCAAATTGGGATGGATAGATATATGTAATAAAGAGCATTGCAATGAAGAAATTAATGTAAACTATTTGATTTATAGGATTTTCATATATGATATTCATTATTATTAAATTGTACTTAAATTATTTTGTAATTAATAACAAAACTAACATATTTTTGGAAATATTAGTCAAGTCATATCAAAACTAAAGTAAAATTACATTATGATTTGTGTTTTAAAAATAAAGATCAATTGCTTCCTTTTATTTTAGTATTAATAAATTATAAAACAAAATAATATTTAAAAACAATTAAAATTGAATTTTAATTATTGTTTATTTAGTTATTTATTTATTTATGCATACTGGTTTCACCCATGATGCAGGGAATATAAACTTATATAAATAACAAAAATCTGCACACAACAGTAAAAAAAACCACAGTAATATTATAATTAATGAATTATTACAGAATATATATATACTGTATATACATATACATATACATACATAATACAAATTTTACAAAAATTTTACAAATTTTACAATAAATATTAAATTAAAAGAAATGTCAAACATAATCAAAATTACAGGAGAACTATTCAAAGAAAATTAATAAAAATTATGTATAAAATAACCACACCCACTTAAAAGCAGAAGAAAATTAATTATAATTATTATTATTATTATTAGAATTAAATTAAAAGAGAATAAATTTTATATCTGTAATAATATGATTTTTATATTGGACACAAGTACATTTTTTCAGAAGTTTTGTTAACAAATATAATGAGAATTGCTTTTATGTGTAACTGACATAATTCTATAACTTTAAATTTTATCTTGTTTGTTAACTAAATCAATGAAGAGGAGGATGCTTAGTGCAGTAAGGTTTTCAATTGAAGGAAAATATTAACTGGAGTATTCTCCTTCAGTTGAGGATTCAAACAATTAATAATTGTTTGAATCCCAAATTAAGGTTTGAAGCATCAAGACGACAATTATTGGATTTGATACCAACAATTTAATATATAGATACACTCAACATAATCAAAAGACATTAATAAAAAATTATTTTGGAGCCTCACCTTTCTGTTAAATATTTTATATTATAGATGTTTTAATAGAGAATTTATTAAAATATTTAATTCTATGTATTGTTTTACTTATAATATTACATATTATTTTTTAGAGCTGTGCATTTCTGATGCGATATTATGAATTGCGAGGAGAATGTCAAGAGTCTCTGTATAATCTAGGAAGGGCCATGCATCAGTTAGGTAAGTTATCTAAATTTTACTTATGAGTGCAATCAAGAGAATATATTCTTTTCAGTATGGTTTTTGTTACAGGTCTGAACAGTGTCGCTTTACACTTCTACAAGAAAGCATTGGCTTGTCCTCTTCCTATTTCTGCAGACAATCAGGTAAAATTTGAACAACTGATAATAATAATAAACATTTTTCCATACTAATTAGAAAATTGTTTGCAGGATATTTTTGACTTGAGGCATGAAATTGCATATAATATGTGTTTGATATACCAAGCTAGTGGAGCAACTGCTTTAGCCCAAATGTATCTGCGTAGATATTGTATAATTTAAAAATTTGTATATAAAATTTTATATAATAAACTACTAAAAATTTTTAAAATTCTGTATGTTCAAATTAATTTTATTATATTTTTAATTTAAAGATAAGTGACTAATCTACATTTAAATTGAATTATTCCTAACAGAGAAAAGTCTATAAATTCTGGGAGAAGAAAATAAAAATACTAGCAGAATTTTAAATGATAAATTCTAAATAATAAATATTAAGTTTATTTATGTATAAATTTAATTCAAAGAATGTTTTCAAATAGAATTGAAAAACTGAAAAACTATTGATTTATTCATAATCTTTACATTTTAATTTTAAAAAAAGTTTTGCATTGATTTTTTTGAATTGATGAGTTAACAAAGCTGACAAGGAAAAAAACTAATGAAGATAATTTATTTTACTACAAAATGCCATTAATTATGCACATGCATTAATCAGTTAGGTTGAAAGAAGGAAAATTTAAATTCAAATTTTCTTGCATAAAGATAATTATTTTGTTTTGAAAAGTTAAACAAGTTACCACTGATTTTTCATTAAATCAGAAATTAAATTATAACTTAAATTAGTTTTTCTAAAAAGTAATTAAAAATAGCATCGATAATTAACACGAGCTTGTATTGTATGATAAAGTTTATTATTTTAATTGAAAGTATTAAATGCTAGCCATTATTATATTGATTATAAAACAATTTATCTTACAACTAATGAATATTTATATAGAAATTTTGTATCTATGCAATTTTGCATTCTTAACTGCAATTTATTACTTTAAAACTTTTAAATTATGTATGGAGGATGTTTTAAAAGAATCTCACAGTTCTTGACAGTTAAATTTATAAAATACTGTATATCAAAATAATAAAGCATATCTATATATTAATGATACTCTTAAACATTTACAGGTTTTTGTTTTTCCTGGTAAGAAAGCAATGAAACTTATATGACACTTGTTTATTAATCCATTAAAAAATAGCATTACATTTTTGCTGAAGAAATTGAGTAAGTTTATCTATAGAAATAAGGACAAATCAAAGTTCTTTCAACAAATGTTTGTTATAAACATTTTTCCTTGCTGATAATTTTACTGCTAAATATTCATAGATTTATTGACAATATGGCATAAAGCTGTAATACAGTCAATATTCTATGATTAATTGCAGATATGTAGTTGGTTTGAAAGGTAACATGTTTGTTTCTTTGTTTTCTCCTTGTTTCTTTATAAATTGATTTTTAGAGATATTTTTGCATATAATTATATCAAGAAAGTATAATTATTATCAATAAAACAGTATTTTGAAATGGTTTCATTAAGCTGCTATTCTTCACTTCAAGTATTTCTTGAATATTACCATTTGAATCTGTATCAGAATGTGGATAAGTCTCTGTAATGTGATTCAAATGAATGTTTAAGCCCCAATAGCCCTTGGATCTGCTCTTGCTGAAAACAGAAGAGTTTAGGATGTAATAAAATTTATAATTTAAAGAATAAGCATTTTAAATTGTTTCTTGTGTAAAATTAAAAATGACCAAAGTGTATAAAAACCATTGAATACCAGTAGTTGGTCCTGAGCCATAACCAACAGGAATTTTCCAGATTTTCTCCACATATCTAACACTTAAGGGCCAGTTTCTCAAAGTCTTCCCAAGACACACCCGTCTTGGTAGACTGCCCTTGTGTTGCTTTATCCCATCAAGTCAATGGCAAGTATTCAAAAATTTTAATACGTGGCGAAAAGAAAAATAGATAAACAATAAAAAATTTTCAAAAATATTCGCATTCGTTTTGCATTTTTATATTTATCTAAATAAAAGAATAAATACATAAATTAACTCAAATACATTTCATAAACTCGACGTTTTGAAAATAAATCTAAAAAAATCCTGAAAGTTTTGGCCCAATGAAAATGTCCTTATTACTAAGGAATAAGATGTAAAGTGCACTTTTCTACATTCTCCACAGAAAAATTTAATCAATAAAATTAAAAAGTGATAAATTCATATATCAATGATTATTTTATCGCTTAATAATTTTATATTAATGTAAAATATTATGATTTTATAACATTAAATTAAACGAGTAAGTATTTATTGTGACGTGTCATAATGCGGGCTTGCAATTTTTAATCATCATTGATTAAAAAGACGCGTGACTTCCGGTTCAGATCGGAAGTTTGTATATAGTTAGAGATATCAGGGCTTCTAATCTTTTTTAGATTTTCATCTGCTTAACACCTCGATATTAATGAAAGACAGACGGAATTTACAGGTCTGCAATTTGAAAATTGCAGCCCATTAACGTAAGTTTTTACGCCTAATGGCTAAGGTGGTTAAGGTGACTTCTGGGGAACTCGATCGAATCCGCAGGACTTTTACGAGGGCAAGTATGTCGGGCCCATTATGGGTTTGACCGAATTGACGGTATGAAAAAGGCCCTTTTAGTGCCCACAAGGCGGAAAGAGCCAAAAATTTAAAAAAAGTAATGATTTGTAAATTCGCCACAATGTTGCACTAGTGCCTCTTGGCACGATTGTCAATTTCGTGAATTTGGAACGAATTTTATAAATTTTTGTCCACTTCCCGAAACGAGCAACGTTGTCAGATTTGGCGTAACGTATATATCGAATGTCCACTCAAACATCCGCCCAGGGGCAAGAGAGATTTTTTAGCATTGCACGAGTGCATAACACATGGTGAAACGGCGCTAAAATAATCGAAGGGAATCAATTTATGAAGACAGGATAACCTACAAAGAATGTCTCACTGTAAAGGATAGAGATGACGTTATAGAAATTGGTACAAAATTGAGCTTTTTGTTATAGAACACGTTTAAAATGGCCACCTTCCGCAATACAAAGGTGTAGACAGTCGAGCGTGGCATTTTTGGAGTAACAGTCCCATCGTAGGCGCTCTCCAGACACCGATGCTTTTAGGTTACCTCAGGAAAAAATCCAGAGGGGTCAGATCTGGGGAACGTGGTGGCCACGGGTGCCAAACTGCTCCGAGAGTCTCTGACGCACGTCTGATCGGGAATGAGTTGGGTGGGTGGTATTTGGTCGAGTAGCTTGCTAATTTGGATTTTTTCCTTTGAAGTCGCCTAAAAGCATCGGTGTATAATGTCCATCTATCAGTGCCGAGTGATACTGGCGAATTGGAGAGATGCATACGATAGACCTGTAAAACCTTAACACCAAGCACCCACCTGTGGCCTAGTGAATAAAACTGGACACTGGACTCTTGGATTTAAGCCTGGCCAACGCACTGGAGTTTTCCGGACTTTTTTAACGTTTGTAACACCTAAATATGGCCAGTTTCCTTAGAAAGTCCTCCCCTCGGCAGATCGCCCATGTGTCGCATTGTATACAAATAAATCAAACCATAACACCACACTCGACCTTCCACATCTTTGTATTTCCGGTGAAGACGATCGTTTTGAACATGTTCTACAACAACCCAAGGTTCACCTTTTTTCTATCAATTTCTGCAGTGTTGACCGAATCTTTTTACAGTCAAACATTATATGTTATACTTCGTCATCATAAATTGATTTCCTTCGGTTATTTTAGGGCTGGTACAAGCGTGCCCCACATACATTCACTCGTGCAATGCTGGAAAAATATCTTTAGCCCTTGGACGGTTGTTTAAATGGACGCCCTATATACGTACACAGTGTTTCCCAAAAGAAACGCGCCATAGGAGATTGTGCGGAGAAACTTGTAGACAGCATCAGAGGCAAGTGCATGGTGTTTTTTTTTTAACTCTCCGCCCTGTGGGCACTAAGAGGGCCTCTTTTTGCAAGCCCATTATGGGTTCGGCCAGGCCCACAATGGGGCTGCCGGGTAGTGAGGGACGGGGCCCGACATATCCGAACGGACCACCCCCGAAAAATTCCTGGGGATTTTTCGGCCAGTTCGGATGCGAACCTGGGTCCCCCATTTTGATCGAACAATTGTTGGATCAAAATGGTTACAAATTAGTTATGCAAGAATTAGTTGCAGATGACGGTTGAATTTTATGAAATCTGTTATGGGATGATCCTGGTTTACTTCATTGCTCATGCTTCTCTGACGAAGCGACTTTCTATTTTAATGTCGAGTTCACAACATAATTGTCGCTATTGGGGCACCCACGGATCCCCTCGACGCTCGCATAAGCCAAACTCAAACGCCACAAAAAATAAATGTTTGGGCTGATTAGTGGCAGACAGAGTACTGAACATTTTCTTCATTGAAGTGAACCTAACTGGGCCCCAGTATCTTTTGATAGTCGCATTAAGAGGAGGCCCAAATACTTCCTTTGGACCTCTCTTTAATGCGGCGATAAAACCAGCAGCTCGAGGGTGTAGCATTGCAGGAACAAGCCACTGGGGTCACCATGTTTGATATGGGCAGTATGGTCTATCTACAATCTATCAATGCTGGATTGGACGTTACGGCCTGCACCAATGGCCCGCTAGCTCCCCTTACGTAACATTCCTTGATTTCTTCTTATGGAAACATTTCAAAGCAATCGCTTACCGTAAACCTTGCAAACTGTGGATGAACTGGAAGAAAACATTTCACAAGATTGACGAGAAATAACCTCCGGTGTGAGCTGCAGTTTCTTCATTTTATCACCGACTGTTCCAAATGAGGGAAAAGAGAAATTACGTACTAATATTGATGACGGGCGAGTATTAATTCCTGAATTTTTCATATCATTAACCAATAATAAGTCTAATAATACTAATAAATAAACACTAAGTAACTAAGTAAAATGAATAATTTATTTACACATTACAAAACCCAACGAATTACTGCAAGGAAATTCTGTAGAATTATCTTGCCCTTCACGAGCTTATCTTCTTTCCTTTAGTGACCGTTAAATTAAATACTAATTGTCAGTTCTGACCCGTACGCCATTACAAACCCGGCACGACGCAGCAGGACATTAACTTTACATGATTGTGTCCCCGATGCTTTATCTACGAGCTTCTCTACATAGTCTCTTATGGAGCATTTCTTTTGCAAAACACCGTATATAATGCTAGAATATTGAAATTAATGAAACCATTTATTTAGCAAATTCTTCAAAAGTGTAATTGTAGTATCAAAATTATAATGGTAGGTACTTACCGTGTGTATTGTGAAGTTGCCTTATAAACAATAAGCATTTTCGTTCTGCAGTTAGTTGCTATTTGTTTTTATATCATTCTAGAAAGTTTTATAAAACTCAATACATTCGTACATTAATATTTATGTGTAGTACCACAATAGAAAATTATACTAATACTCTATTGCTGCAGGTCAGTATGATGCAAGCAAATATAATAATGATAATAAGCACTGTCATTTTGTGTTTTGTGAGTCAATTTTTGATAAGATTGTATTTATATTTGCATTAAATATGTGGATTAATTTGAGGAATTTTTTAGTAATAAGTACGATAAAATTATTTTCTATCAATAAAAATTAATATCAGTTTTCTATAAAAATGTTTATTGTCTACATGCTTCTCTAGCCACTGTTATCTTTAACTCAATCCACTATAAATAAAAAAAGAAGTTATGTAAAGAAATTCAGATTAATGGAATAAATAGATTTTTATTAGATGAATATAGTTATATTGAGCGAGATGTGGCTTAACATGGAGGACAGGCAAGATGCACGTCTACATAACTAGGCAGACCAAGTCTAGAGAGATGATGATGGAATCATAAGACCGTCTCTATTTCGGCTATCTCCATCCTTCCACCGGATGGCAGGCAGGAGCTGGTGTTATAGTAGTTGATATGGTTACTTGTCATATCTTCTGGGTGGATCTTGTTCCTGTGAAAACAATTTTGTCAGCTTTGACGCACTATTCGAAATCTGTTTCCTTCGCGTCATTATTTACCTTTCTGATAGTTGTTTTTCCAGTTGACGAATCCTCATATTAGCCATGTCTAGCCGATATTTAGCCTTCCATAATTGGGTGTCACAGATGGGATCTTTGCAACGATGGTGTTTCAACATGTCTTGTGCTTCGTACACGGCACCCCTAAAGCTTAACGATTTCCCCATACTCTGTAAAAAAGTTATAATCGTAATCTATACAAAGCTACAACATTTACGAAAAAAGAAATATATTACTTACTAGGCTGAGAAGTGTAAAGAACCCGCCATTATCCTTCCTAGCCAAGTGCTTTCGAACGTATCTGAAGTAGAGATGCTCCAAAACCAGAATGATGATAGTGAAGAGAACGCCACAACCTAACAAAAGGAAGGCGCTCATAAATTGATTTATGTCCAAGGGGTTGCTGGCGTTTCTCTTGTGTTTATTAGGTTTACAAACACCTTGCAGCCAGAACCTTTGGAAGCGCTCAATATCTCCTAAAGAAAAACATAGTTATAGTAGTCGAGATGGAAGGTAAGCTGCATTTTTTAAACTCTTACCGTTTTCTTTATATTTTATCATCATCTTGTTGAAGCGGTCCAAATATTTCGATTTTTTTGGAAATGCGAATCCGTATCCGGTCATGGCATACCACGATCCGGCCGTCAGCAATCGACATTCGTTATCCTGTCCTACCAGGTAATCTAAGACCGTTGCATCGTATATAAAGGCATCCAGTTCCCTAAATACAAAACACTATCATCCGATAAACTAGAATTTATTCATGAAATTTAACTTAAATTAGTTGAAATTATAATCCCTCGCCACGCAAGATGACCCGATAAACAATTCGTAAGAGCTTTTACCGAATTCATATTTCCCACGAGAAAATATATTCTAGACAATAAAAGGGTGACATATGGGTTGAAGTAGTCGATGGACACTAGAGAATATCGAAGGAGTGACTGACAGTTCTCTGACACTGCACAATCGAACGTAATAAAAATGTTATGTCGAGCGCATTTAGGCCATCTCGTCGATAAAATATGAAAGGAAAGATTATTCTGTCAAGAACGCTATTGATTACATTGTTCTGCCATTTATTGCATGACGGGGAAAGTTGATTTGCGACAGACTCTTACTAGGAAAGATGTAGAAAGTTGTACCTAGAAACGATTACGTCTCTAAGGCTAAAAGACGTTTCGTGTGTGGAGAATTAATGTCAGTTGTCGAAATGTGAACGTGACAACTTGTCTCCGAGGAGAACTTTCTAGGGAATTTAATTCGGAAATACAGGATTCCTCAACCAATACAAGACGTTCTGTCATTCGAGTCCCGTTTCCTGTAGGAAGAGAGCCGAAGAATTTAAGATATAGGATGTTTTTGCTTTCTGATTGATGACTGATAGAAGAGAAGAGCAAATTGTTACAGATAAAGTAATGTTTTTAATGTTATAAAAATAATACACCGTTTTAAAATTGTTTTATTATAACGTTACGTGTCTAAGAGTGGTTCTGAATTTTAATTGATCGTCGTCTCATTACCATAATTATATGACCTAAGGCTACGTTTTATTATGGCAATTCCGATGTAGGCGTAGTATTTATTATTGTTTAACCCTGCGTGTAAGTGCTAAGTTATAATGCATAAACAACAATAATAAACAGGAAAAGTGGTCGATTAATACGACTTTTCTGTTTTATTATCGGAGTAAATTAGTAAAGTTTAGTCTAAGTTGAAAACTTCGGTCGATATGGCACTTCAGTGATTGGTTAAGCGTTAATCAGTCAATTTGTTTTTCTCTCCGCTTCTCTAAACTCGTAGTTTATCACGTTCGGATTGTGTTTTGTCGTCACATCCTCCTCTTTTCTGTAGTGTTATCGTCGGAAGTGTTCGCGAGGTGCCTTCCGTATTTTATCTTACGGAGAGAAGCGTGACAGGCAAATCTATACGGTCATCCATCGATCGGAAGTAAACATGACAAGAGCTACGGGATTAAGCTTCTGAATTTGACAATATCTTTAAATTCCGTTCTAAATCGAATAAATCAGATAGGAGGAAAGAACATTTGCATATCGGTGAAGTGAAAAGTAGAATTCCTGTACATGACACCAGTTACCGTTAAGTCGAAAGGGCACCGAGTGTAGATCCATGTTAGCAAAGTACAGAGGTTGGAAGCCTTTCCGTTGTAGATGAATAATTCAGGATTCGACTAAACCCGGGATGCTTAATCCCAACCGAAGTGGAACGGTTAGACCTTGACCCGATTCCTATCGATTTTTTGGTATCCGATGGCATCAAGGTGAAGAAACTTACCTCGAATTTTATATCTACTCGTACTCACCCCTTTTTAACGGCCTTGATGCCGTCTTGAACAGTTTCTCTGTTATATTTTTTCATATAATGGTATAACTCTGGTTTGTTTTGCTTCATAACCGCCTCCGTGTTACCGTTGGGAATGGTTCCGAAACGGAAAGGTGGATGAATCATCATCGGATTCTCCAACTGAAAATAGAAATTGGAATTTTAAAAAAATACCAAGACAAAAATGAACATTTGGAAAGGAAAGTTCCTACGAAAGAAAAAATAAAATAAAATAAATCAATACGTTGCGGCGAAAAACAATTGTCGAGAAGAGGAGGAGAGAAAGACAGGAGGGAGAGTGAATGCGATTTTTCTGGAAAGAATAAATTAACGACTAAAACATAATAAACGATACATTAATTAAATTGTTAAGACACATTTTCTTCCATAAATAAAAATAAGTTATGCCCAAAGTTACCTTATTTTATACAATTTTCTGAAACACGCTACAGCCAAGCAACTCAAATATACAATATAATTTTATTCGTGCGGACTTCTAATGTATTTCAAAATCCTCAGACTACGCCTATACAAACAACAGAAACAATCGAAGGGCTTGTGTAAACAATTGGGGAATACGCCAAGAGAAACACTTAACATGTAGATATGCAGAAGTAAAATAATTAATTACTTAAAAGAGAAATCAATTCGTGAGTTGAAAAGCTTTATTACGGAAGTAAAATACGTGAGTGGGAGGTTATTAAGAAGTCTTTTCGTTATGAATCTACCGAATAAGTAGAAATTAGTTTTTTTATTATTTAAAAATTTTCAATTATAAATTTATAAATAAACTTAAGGTTTATTAAATATAATTATAGTTTTACATTTAGAATTAACTTTATGATCGTATGTTTCCACAGGAGAATATTTTCTCAGTGGTATTCTATAGTCGAAGCGTGTGAAACTCGGTGTTACGAATTGCACAGCGATTTATTTTCCTAAAAATACTGTATTAAAATGACAAATGTATAATTTTAACATAAACTAATTAGTGAAATTATAATGCAGGTGTACTTATTCTCTTGTAACTTGACCCATTCTAATGCTTGAAATTAAGAATTAAATGTTATTTAATTTAAAAATTAAAAATAATTACGAAGTTAGGAAATTATTTTCATTCTTCTTAGGTTGAAGTAGTCGATGGACACTAGAGAATATCGAAGGAGTGACTGACAGTTCTCTGACACTGCACAATCGAACGTAATAAAAATGTTATGTCGAGCGCATTTAGGCCATCTCGTCGATAAAATATGAAAGGAAAGATTATTCTGTCAAGAACGCTATTGNGTATACATCTATAAAATGCTATGCAGATATTATTTTTATATAGAAACTTTTCAATATTTTATGTAATGAATTTTCAGAGTAAGAAGTTAGTGTTAATTTCATTTATAATTATTGAAATATTTTTTCTAAGTTTCCAAAAATTCCTGAATGAGTTTTATCTCAGTACAGAGAAGTGATTTGAAAATTAATTTTTTCATGTTCCAATAATAGAGAGGTTGCGGCCTAAGTTCAAACGTTAAACTTGTACGGCAAGCAGAAGTATGCGTTTGACATTTGAACTCAAAGTAAAACACATTGCACCACACGTTCACGTCGCGCACTGATTCATGGGATATTATTGAAAAATGGCGGAAATGTTTAACAACGACAAATGTTACCAGCGAAGGTAAATAAACAAATTAAACTATTTTAAAGTATTTATAGGATGTTTAGGTTTAATAACATTAAATAATTATTTTTAATTAGTGTCATGTCTCCTACCATATGATAGGATGATAGGACTACCTCATACTTTTGTTGAGGGAAGTAGTGGCTTATATAAATTCGAAAGCAGCTTGGGAAATTATTTTTAGAAAATTTACAAATGTATTACGCTATTGATGGTAGTAGATGCTGCAAAAGAACAAACCTATTCCTACAGAATTATGATAAGCTATTATGAACAGAAATATATGTAAATTCTATATGCACTTCACATCACTTGCAAAAAAATTGAATAATTAAATAATTTCTGGATTAAAATTGTCTGTTTCTTTTCAATATTAGTCGTAAATGCTTAAATAATCATTTTAATACGTCATAATTTTAACTCCAAACACAAAATAATGAAGAAGTTTAAGCCGAACTTCTACTCGCCATGCTAGATGTAGTGAACGCCATTATCAACTTTCTAGAATTGCCAGATGGCAGTGCTTGAAGTCTGATGTTCACGTTTTGGGCTGAAAACGTTGACCGCAACCTCTCTAATATCAAAAATATAACAACATACACATTAACCCAATTCTATTAGATATGCCAAATAAACTGTCAGATTATAACAAAGCGAATTTAACAATTAGAAGTAAATTTTAACTTTTAAACTAAATTTAGTGTAATCTGGAAGGAAAGATCAGCATAGAATGAGACTTGAACCTATAACTCCTATTTACCATGCAGATGTGTTGCCAGTTATGCTACCTGTACACCCATACAATCCTCACTTCTAAACATATTAATTATATAACTAACTCTTAACTAAGCATCTACATGGCAAGTAGAAGTTGCAGATTTGAGTTCTGCTTCAGGCCAATTTTTTCTTCCAGATTATTCTAAATTTAATTTAAAAATTAAAAATAATTACGAAGTTAGGAAATTATTTTCATTCTTCTTATATACGAAGCTGCTTATGGCAATTTATTAGTTACGATCGAAGCGTGAAATCGTTCTCTGGTCTTCATTACGATCGAACGAGTTCTGGATGAAGTTTGACTTTTAATCGTGAATTCAATGCCTGAGAGAGATGACGTGGGATCAGGACCTCCCCAAAAGCATAAAAATAAGTATATAAAATCAATAAAACATGATTTATATATTAAAATCAATAAAACATGACTTACATCATATTTTTTTACACATAAGCGGGCATCTCAGTATCAGAGACCTAAACCAAATCTCCTCTACACTATTTAATGTTAAGTGGTAGCTTGCCATGTCTTAAATCATACTAAAAAATGGTGTTTTGGTTCTATAAAGTGCGATAATTTGGCTTTAAAGATGTATGAAGCGTAATTTGTGACAATATTTACCGTTCTATTCCGTTAAGAATTAAGAACCGGACGATCGTAACTAAGTAACTACATTAATATCTTTGCATATAAATAATAAATTCGAGTTTCTTAGAATAAACGAACGCATTTTTCCACGCTTAAACACCGAACTCTTTCGAAAACGAATTAACTAAAGTGGAATCAGTAAAATGATCCTTTTAATATATTAATAATGATAATTTGTAAACGAAATTAACCGAATTATCTCCATGTTTTGTCCTTTATACAGGATTAAATTTCTCATTTAATTATCGTATTATCTGTTTATTATATTTTTAGCACTCGGTTTGCTTCGGGCTATTTCTACATTTATTTTAATCCTTACGGTCTTAAGACGGTCAATTTCCATCCGCTTCAAAATTACTTAAGCGTAATTTCTTTTTTTTTTTCATTTTTAGTAAATAGTAACTCATTAAATTGTTCTTAAAACTTAGAAATTACAATTCTTGTTAACTCAAAATATAAGCTGAAAATAGAGTAATTTTATCTTTAAGGACCTGTCGCGAATGCAGGAGGCCTGACGTTTGGCCAAAATATTAACCATAATTGTTTGAAATGACGATTTTTCATTGTTTTATCAAATGATATCACTTTCGTATATTGTTATTTTACATAAACTTTCGGACCCTTCCGTGTTTAAGGCCCGAAATAAATGGCCTGCTACTCTCTCTCTTCCTTCTGTCTGGTCGAAATTCAATCTTGTTATATAATTGGAGCTTGAGAGATGTGAAATGAAATCTAAGGTAGATACGAATGTGAATCCTTATCCTCCTTCGGAAGCCATAAAAATGTATTAAAAAATTAATAAAACAAATAAAAACAATTTTTTTTTTTTAATTTAGGCCCTATATCACTCGTGTGTTCTTTTAATATAGATTCAATTTTAGGGCTTCTCTACGTGTGGAATCCTATCTGAATAGCGCTGCTTGTCTTCTACTATCTAAACATGATTGTAATTAAGCAAAATTACGTGTGATAATTTATAGCTGTTAATTATCGATCTAGCTTTATAACCGGAGCCTGAGAGAGAGATGAAAAGGCCAAAGGCAAATGGCCATCTTCACATTCCTCCGAAAACAAAAAAAAAAAAAAAAAAAAAAAACAGTGAATAATATCAATAAAACAAATTTTTTCCACAATAAACTTTAATGTAAATCACTTTTTAAGTATATATTTTACACGGTAATTAAATTTTGGGGCCTCTTCGTGTCCAGTGGCCCGTGCAAAACAGTCTTTCTCTCTCTATATGAACCCGCTTGCAACGATATAAATGCGCTGTTAATTATTATTATTGCTACATAACTGGAAATATATCGATGAATATAATCATTTATATTATGATACTATTCATTTTGATGTAATTATTCTTATGGATAATCTTTAAATATCATGAAAATTGTTTCAATTATTCATTTTCCTCTTTCTTTGGGCAGCGTAAAGCCAAAGAGACGAAACAATTTCAATCCCAAGCAAAATACGTTGTCTTTTGAATTTCCATAATCAATTTTTATTATTCTGCAACTTTTTTTTCCTGTTTTATTCTCTAAATTGAAATTTTTGAAGGAGGAATTAAAAAAAAAAAAGAAATAAAAAGTTAATTATCTGTTGAATGCTTTTAGTCCTATAAACTCGTAATCGAAGAGAAGATACGATACTTTAAATCTCTTATTTATTTCTATAAAATTCGTTTAAAATCTTCATTCGAATGACTTTTAGTCAAATCAAAAATGCAGTTTTTATTTATTTAGTAAATTTTCTAAGAATTTTATATATACTTTTTCAGCAATTTTTCGTTAAATTTACAAAAAAAAAGAAGGATTGAAGATTTCTCTATAATAGAAAACACGAGAATTAAATTGTGTAATAATATTTACTATCGGAAAGATTTAAAAAATCAATAAAATCCTTCAATTTCCTCTAAAACTTGAGAGATTTCATTAATTTTTAAAAAAATATTACTCTAGAAAACTCTTTAAAATAATATCTTCTATCCTCTTATGTAATTATTCCAATTGCTGTTTAAGATATAGGCAAGCCTTCTGCATAGTC